TGACTGATTTTACATAAACGTTTTTAAAACGCGTTGATATGACTTTCAACGACAACACTTAGGACATACAATACTACAGCAATACCAAAATATGACTGATTTTACATAAACGTTTTTAAAACGAGTGCAAATGGCTTTCAACGAAAACACTTAGGAGTCTTATACACTTACGAGCAGATAATTAAAAACAATTTATCTTAACAAGTTTTGACAATTTTTTCAATATTAGTTTTAATTAATTTTTTTAGTAAATATAGTTCATGGTACAATGAAAACCATACTACTGAAAGTTTCAAACCTTGTATAAGATTTCTAAAAATTAACAAAGTTTAAAAAATGCGTAACACCGTCAACAAAAAAATTTCAATTAAATTTCGATTAAAGAGTTTGAAATTTTGATGATAATTTTTTTAGCTTGGTGAATTTTTACAAATAATTTGCAAGGTTTGAAACTTTCAGTTAAATGGTTTTCGTTGTACAATGAACTATATTTTCGTAAAAAAAAATTTATTAAAACTAATAAAAAAAAATATTTTTCAAAACTTGGTAAGACAAATTGTTTCTAATTATCTGGCCTCTAGTGTAATTCTACAATAATACAAAACTTTGATCTACTTAATTACTTATAGTCTAAGAGTCATCGTGCCCTAAATTATAGTTCAGAAAAACCACTTGTGAAATTTTGCTAGTATCTAGCCTTTCCCTCCTTTCGCTAACGATTTGCCCTGCGTGGGAAAAGATACGTTCACAAGGAACTGAAGTGGCCGAAATACATAGACGGGTTTTTACTATTTGAAACAACCTCGGATATATATGCTTTCTTTGGCACCACCAGAATAATGGATCATTATTTTTACCTTGGAGGGTTTTTCTGGGTAAAATAGGTTCGCCTAAATATTTGTCAACTTCCAAAACCGCGGAAGTGAACTGATTTCTTGGACAGGTATGCATGCGAACCTCGGCATCGAAGTCTTTCCAAAGTAAATCTACGCTTGCGTTTTCCAAAGGACTCTGCTGAACTTGCTCTTCATTGTTGTTTGTATTGGAATCACTTTGGAGATGAATATTCGAAACCTTAAAATAAAGCTTTTCAACCGCTGCTTTGTAGAAAACTTCGCTGATAAACCCAAATTTCTTAAACCGAGGGTCCAAAATAGTCGCCTGCGCTATAAGCTCATTTTTCTCCAATTCTTTGAAACGCTCATTTAATTCCCTGAGTAGCTTTTTCACTAATTTTTGTCCAGGAGGCGTCAACTGGTCAAACTTGAAAGAATTTAAATGTTTTTCTAACTGCTTAACATATAAAATTATTGTAGAAACACTAACATATTTCTCTCCGCTTATTGCTTTGGTAATAATATCAAATATTTCCATTATTTTTATGGTTTCCTCTACCACTAACCATTCCTCATTGCTTAAAAGGTCAATATTGCAAAGTCCCTCATCTCTTACCAACGCTGAAGATTTTACTACCGCTACTGTCGCAATTACGGCTTCTTTTATGAGCATAATTCGTTTCAGCATTTCATACGTCGAATTCCAGCGTGTGGGAACGTCGTTGATCAACTTTGAAATAGGTAGCTGCATTCGCGAAGTGGTGACATTCAATTGCGACTTTGCATATGAACTTTTTCTAAAAAGTCTCACTATTGCTTTGACCTTATCTAAGCTAATCTGAATCTCTTTCAAACCTGATTGTGCGACTAAGTTTAAGGTATGGGCAAAACAACCCCAATGACGCCACCCTCCTCCACGAACCGCTGCCTTCATGTTGGCTGCGTTATCCGTTACTATCGCTGTCACTTTAATACTTAAATCCCATTCTTCCAATATCTCTCTAAGTTTATTAGTAATATTATCACCCGTATGCCGCTCTGAATAGTACGTGCAGGTGAGCAAATCCGACGCCAGGCACAACCGATTGTTTTCTTCAGCAATGTAATGTGCTGTTACACTTATGAAGCCGTCCTGTGCCCGGGAAGTCCATCCATCCATTGTTAGACAGACGGCATATGCTCTAGTTAAACGCTGCTTAACTTTTTCCACTGTTTCCCTATAGATTGCAGGAATAAGAGAGGAAGATATTGTTTTCCTTGTTGGGGGCTTATAGCTAGGATTTAATAAATTCACTAGCTTTTTAAATTCGGCATCTTCCACTACACTAAACGGATGGTATTCCCTTACTATCATGGCAACAACTTGGGCATCGATTTCAGCTTGCTTTTTTATTGTAAGAGGCTTATTTAAAAATTGTAAAACTGATGGACATGGTGGAGCAACAGCTGAGACTGACGATGTTTGCGTTCCTTGTACATTGCGTACTTCACTACCTGAGGTATTGTTCGGAGTTGGTTCTCCTGGCGCCTCCTGCCTGTGTATAACTTGCGTTGGATGTTTTGCATTCATGTGCCGTATAAGGTTAAACGTCGACTTGTTTCCCACTGCAAGTTTTTTGTCACAGTAGCGACATTGTACGCTGCTTTCCTTCTCCTCTGAAAAATGTAGCCAAATTTCACTTTTCTTGCGGGACATTTTGTTTTTAGAATACCTATGTATATATTATAAACATGAATTTATGCCTCTTCAAAAAATAATTTATTTGACTTGCAAGTTAACTCACCAGGTTGCTACTTTTCCTTTGGTGCAGGGTGGGAGACGTACTTGGCAAGCTCGTGAGATTTATCTATAGTTACTGAAAAGATAATCATATATAAATCAATATGTCTTTTAAAAAAATAGTTATTGTAGAATTATTTTGCAAATTGACTCACCAGTTGAAATCAGCTTTCAAAAATTTTGCCGGCCAGCTACGAAGAGAAGCTAAGGATAACCTTTTCTACATCGATTTCGATTACTAACATCATCAATAATTTCGATGTACATACCAATTGTGCGATAGCACACTTGTGCCAGCTCACTGTGCTGACTCATTAAAGTGAGTTGGAGTTACTGAGTCAGCACACCAAAATTTACAGAGTTACCCACCCTTACTTATGTCCACATATAATAAGCCTTAACTATTTTAGGTTTAAAACTTTGCTTTCGTCCCTAATATTTTTCATTCAAACTTTTTCTAACTTCGCATACTTTTCCAATTTGTTTTACAGTGATGTTCGCCGTCAGCCTTTTGATTGCCATCGCTTTTAATTATTCTTCGCAAAATCCTGCTGTTGTCGAATCCGCACAACACCTAGTCTTTAATTTGATTCGTTTTGCACTGTGATGGAAAAATCGAGTTAAAAGCTGCAGGCGTAAAATTACTAGTGAATGTTGCGATTCAATGAACACGAGTTGTGTCTGTTGTCGTACTTTTACTTTGTTATTTCCGCCTTGCTTTCCCTTGGTATGCCTACTCGGCGTTTTCGTTTTGCAAAACCTTAGCAAAGTATTTTGCGCGATAGAACTTCTTTCGTCAAATCTGTGTGCATTTTGTTTGTTATTTGCTCATCCACTCCCAGAAGGAATGCTAAAAGTTACTTATTTGTTAAGGGAAAACTTTAAAACTTTATAGTAGTGACAACTTAGTTATATTGTGAAATAACGCAATTTTTTTGTTGGAAGTTCGTAGTTTAGAGTGGCTGATGTGAAGAAGCAGCCCACTACGACTAAGAGCAAAGGACGCATTGTATTTACACATGTATAATTTTGAATCTGACGAATCTGTTTGACAATTTAGAGCTAATGCTTGATATAAGGCTATAACAGTGACCCGAAAAGCGGTTTTTGCTTTTTCTTTTTCATCGTTTTTTCAACTTCTGTAAAAGCTTTGGATATGTACACTGTTAGACCTCCGACCATTTGGTGTGCAATTGACATATGCCATGCATTTTTCACTTTCTATCAGAGTTAAATGTGATGATTATACTTGCTTATGGATTGGTAGCAGTTCAGTCCATTTCTTTGGACAGTGAGTTTTCTTTTGGCTTCAGTGATTACTGTTCTCAAACCATATTTTTACTGTTATTCTCGGCTTTGCTCTTCTTCGCTTGTGGTATGCGTACGTGCTGCTTCATTTAATTAATTAAATGTAATAAAAAAACTTTAAGCTAATTTTATTGATAAGGCTTATTGCAATGGACATTTATTTGGAAATCTTCGCGATGGTTTGGGGTTTAAGAACGAAGTATACAAATACATTTTTACTTAATACAGATGCGCGGTTTTGTTTAGTGAACAATAGTTTTTATTTTTTTTTGTACTTACAATTTATTTGTTACTTTACATACTAAATATTAAGTTATATGAACTCGTTTTTTGGTCTGTCGGAGTGCTTTAAGTACATCCCTCTGGACATTTGTACAAGGTCTTCTGAAAGGTTTATATTATTTATATTGTCTACATTACTTGCATATTCCATTGACATTAACCACTTTTACATATACACATACATACACTTACTATTAATATTACGCAATCCTTGTATGTTTCCAATATGAACCGAATCGGACTTTAAACACCACTTTAACAAATATATCAACGCCAGCCCCGTAGCAGGTCTATTTGACCACAATACTGCATTATCATCGAACTTACAAAAGTGTTACAAATTTCAACTCAACCAGATACCTTCCAGTATGAAGTATGGTGTGCATAAGTTGAAAGGGACAGTTTACAAATCTCCCGAGTAGCTACATTTTTGGACAAAAACGTATTTTTGGTCGAAAATGGCGGCACACTTATCTTAGATAATGCAATATCTTCCGTTTTGCGCATAGAATAAGATTCCAACGAGAAATTGTATTTCAATGAAAATTAAAAAAAAATATATATTCTAAAAAAGTAAAAATAACAACAACCCGTAGTTGTGTACGTAACGTATACGACCCGCAGCACCATACACACTCAGCTGTCACGCTCACTCGCACGTCTTTTTCCTTATGCACATATACATATATTACTTCTATATTAATATAACAATTTTATAATGAATTTCGAGTTAGCCAATAAAAAATGTAAAAATGGAATTTTTGTTTATGATGTGAAGGGGTATTTAACTTCCAGGCTGATAGCAAATGAGTTGCATGTACGCAAGTTCAGATTCTCGTATGAAAGAAGCATTTCTTCTTTTAAAATAGACATATCCGAAGACTGCTTTGATAGAGTAATGAGCCCATCTTTTTGGCCAAGCGGTGCCTTCATTCGCGAATTTGAATTTAGATCTAGACCGCAAGGGCAAAATTTGGCTCAACTTCCGCTTTCCACCTCGGCATCAAAAAACTAATAAGTAACCTCACCATTAGCATTTACTACCAAAATGTGAGAGGTTTGAACACAAAGCTATCAAGGTTACACTTGCAGTCCTATGATTTTGACTTCAAAGTACTGGTGTTTACTGAAACCTGGCTCAAGCCGAATGTGTTCAACTCGGAAATTTTGTGTCCTAAGTATGAAGTGTTTCGAAACGACCGTTTAAATAAAAAAGGTGGAGGCGTCTTAATCGCTGTCCAGACTGACCTTTCTTCTGAAGAAATTGAGTTCACTGACACCGATGAAGTTGAATTCCTCTGCGTTCGAATAAGATATCATTCTATTAGCGTTTATCTTGTTGCTGCTTATATACCACCTAACTCGAGCCTTTCTGTTTATTTAAAACACTCCTCCTTACTGCTCTCTCTACATGCCATGGTGAAGCCCTCCGATACTGTTATTGTCCTGGGTGACTTCAATCTTGCGGGTGTTTCTTGGGATCTAATAGATGGTATTCTAGTACCAAATTCCTCTCGTGATCTCTTCAATCAATTTTTGAACGATCTGTCAGATCTTAGTCTTTACCAGATCAACTCTGTTAGTAATAACTTAGGTAAATGTCTGGATTTAGTTTTTGTGGACGATGTTTCCAACGTCACAATAGCCCCTAGCTATGCTTTGATTACCCCTGTTGATTCTCACCACCCACCACTAGAATTGTCCTTGATAAATTCACGCAACTCATGTTGCTTTATCAGTAAAAAATCAAGAGCGGAGCGTTACTCATTTAAAACAGCAGATTATAATAAACTTAGGTTAGAGATATCGAAGATAACTTGGCCCCAGTATGATGGGAATGCTGAAGATAGTGCCTTACATTTTAGCAATTCCTTACGCCACATTTTCAGTAAAATCATTCCTCTTGTTAAGGAAGCTAACGTAACGTCTAACGCTCAGTGGTTTACTGGCGAATTGAAACGCTTAAAAAATCAAAAATCCAAAGCATTTAAGCTTTTTAAAAAATCTGGCTTGTCTTCTCACTACTCCGCGTACTCCATTCTTAGGCATAAATACAATGTATTGAACAAAAAGTGTTACAATAATTATATTAACAGGGTTCGACTCAATATAGTTTCTAATCCCAAATCGTTTTACGCATTTGTGAACACAAAGCGTAAGACTAACGGTTATCCCTCAACATTGAAGTTAAATGACTTAGTTTCCAGTGACGAAAATATTATTGCCGATATGTTTGCTGGTTTCTTCGAGTCAAACTACTCTGCCAGTTCTACATCTTCCCAACTGAATTCGAATCTATCTAGCTACCCATTCGATCTGCCATCATTTGATTGTATCCGAATTCCATCGATATCTGCTGCGGACGTCCTCATTCATTTGAATTGTTTGAAAATTTCATATACAGCTGGCCCAGACGGTATACCCACAAGTGTTCTTAAAAGTTGTGCAGAGTATTTGTATAAGACTCTGGCAAATATTTTTAATGCTTCCCTAAAACAGGGTGTCTTCCCATCTTCCTGGAAGGATTCGTTTATCTTGCCACTTTATAAAAATGGAAGTAGGACTAACATCGTAAACTATAGAGGAATTGCGAAGCTTTGTGCTATTGCTAAAGTTTTTGAGGCAATCGTTACGGAAGAACTATCTCACTCTATTACTTCTGCTATTGATCTATCGCAACACGGTTTTTGCAAAGGTAAATCAACTGTATCCAATCTTCTTGAATTCACTACTTATGTGTCTAATGGGTTTAAAAACAATCTTCGAACGGACGTGATTTACACTGATTTCAGCAAGGCATTTGACAAGGTATCTCATTCAACCCTTATATATAAACTTGATCGAATTGGCTTCCCTCCTATTCTTCTCAGCTGGCTTTCTTCTTACTTAGTGGATAGGAAACAAAGAGTAATTTTTAAAAATTGTACCTCCCGGCCAATACATGTCACATCCGGCGTACCTCAGGGCAGCCATATTGGTCCCGTCTTGTTTATTTTATTTATAAATGACCTTCCTAAGGTGTTGAATTACTCGAAATGCTTAATGTACGCTGATGATGTTAAGCTCTTTAAGTACATTAGTACTGCAGAAGATAGGGAGCATTTGCAAGCTGACCTAACCTGCATTTTCGAATGGTGTGAAGCAAATTCCATGTCACTAAATTTGAAAAAGTGTAAATTCATGACCTTCTCTAGAAAATCGTTCTATCCAAATTCGTATATGATATCTGACCACAATGTTGAGCAAGTGACCAATTTCATTGACCTAGGTGTAACTATGGATCCGAAACTAGAATTCAAGTCTCACATAAACTCCTGCGTGATTAGGGCTAGAGGATTGTTGGCTTTTCTTAAGCGCTGGGCCAAGGAGTTCAACGATCCTTATGTCACTAAAGTTCTCTTTACCTCTCTAGTTAGACCGATTTTGGAGTATGCATCTATAGTATGGAATCCTAGCTATCAAATTCATAGTGACAGGCTCGAATCAGTGCAGAAACAGTTCCTGCTATTTGCCCTCAAAAATTTATGTTGGGACTCGTCTAAAAATCTCCCACCCTACAAGGATCGCCTGAAGCTTATAGATTTGCCGACGCTTCAGAGTCGTAGAGAGATGCTTGGTGTTCTTTTTTTAATTAAATTAATGAACGGGATGGTCAGTAGTCCCTTTTTACTGAGTGAGATAAATTTTTGTATTCCTACAAGACCCACGAGACATTTTAAACCTATTGTGTTGAGTATTTGTAAATCAAACATTGAAATGCATGATGCTTTTCGGTGTTTAT